TTAACAAGCGTATTCGTCGATCGATTCTAGTAATAATTAATATATGAAACAAAACTAGTTGATCCTTTAACTAATGCTCAAAACATTAATATGAAATATGATTAGGAATTAATTAATATTCAAGGAAGAATATTAAAGAAAATAAATGCTACTATAATTAAAGTCGAGATGTTATCTAATTGTCATCTTAGCAACACTCCCGACATTTATATAGAGATAAATTAATTAATATTCAAGGAAGAAGATTAAAGAAAATAACTTACAACTTATATTTCATTAAGCTTCAATGTAGCAAAACCAAGATGGAAGAGCTTAGCCCCTCATTTGAAGACTAAACATACTAGAAAATATAAAGAAAACACTTAACTAAACTGAGCTTAGAGTATATGTGAATTGGTGATTTTTGTGTGAAGGAAAGGAGTGTATTTATAGGGAAAATGGAGCATGCAGGGATGTGTACCCGATCGGGCATCAAGGGCACCCAATCGGTTACCTTCAGTGGCTTCCCGGAAGCTGGAAAAGTGGGACATACCCGACCGGGCATGTCGGTCACCCGATCGGGTATGACACTCGAACGTGGTCAAATATATTCCTGCATGTTGCCTTGTCCGAGATTTGATCCTATTTGATATTTCAGCAAGGTACCCGATCAGGTATAGGTCATACTCGATCGGGTACAGGTCAAAAAATCATATCTTCCACTTTGTCTTGTAATCTTGCACTTTCCTTCCACTTTTTGGGTTCACCAATGGTCCCTTGAGTGATCATGGACATGTTTGAGCTCAGAATAAACCTAATCTAAACAAATTACAACTATTTTACAAACTAAACCATTACACCAAAACTGTGTAATTTCCAAAGTAACAATCAATCAAAACTAATTAAAAACATAAACATAAACATGGAAATTACTAGGTTTGTAAACGAATCGAATCGAACCGAATACTTGATAATATTATTCGTATTCGTATAATTATCGAATATTCGTATTCGTATTCGTTTAAAATTCGAATCTTATTTTGTATTCGTATTTGATTCGTTTGATGTATTCAAATCTCTTTTGAATCGAATTCGAATATTCGAATTCAAAAAACATTAAAGTTAATTTGTGAAAATAATTAAAATTATAATGTTAGTTTGCCCCTTTTAACTAATTTTCATATTACATATTTTATAGGAAACAAAATTCATTTATAGAAGTCACTTCAAATTTAATATCAATATAGATAAATCAACGGAGAATTTTAATTGTAAATTAAGCTATTTTGACCTGGTAAAGTAAGAATTTTTAAATTAAAATATGCAAAATATTTACATAAATATTTTTTTATTAATATTTTTATATTGAACTATATGTATTCATAAGAAGTAGTATATATTGTATGAGTATATAAATATATAAATATATAAATATATATATATATATATATATATATATATATATATAAATCTATTATATATATATAATTCGAATATATTCGAATATTATTCGAATCGAATATCATAGTATTTGTATTCGTATTCGTAAAGTATTCGAATCAAAAAATAGATTTGTATTCGTATTCTATTTACTCGAATTTGAATCGGCATTTTCGAATTCGAATGACGAATCGAATCAAAATTATTCAATTCGTTTACAACCCTAGAAATTACATGAATGTCAGTGGAAGTTTGACTCTAAATATCTATAAATCTATGCATATAAAATCTATGTTAAATTGACATTTGAATAACAAAATTTAATTTGCAATGAAGTATACAAAATTAATTGGTCACAATTCGGGTACTCATTTTAAAAATGGGGACTGTAGCTATCATTCATTTGATTGGTCCAAATCATTATATCATTTTTAATTTAGATTTAAATAATTCAACTCCAACATTCTGATTGGTCCATGTTGACAAAGGTATGGTACCTTATGAGTACCATAGAATCTACCGAATTAATTTTGTGTAACAAGGTAATATAAATTTTAATAAATAACCGTCAAAGTTTATAGAGTTTGACCTAAAAAGGCTAGCTTGAAATTTAATTATGGGAAGAAGGCATGTATCTTTTTTCGTTTTTTACCCTGGGGTGTTGGGGAGCTAAGATAAACTGGGATCAAACTCACTCAATTGAGTATTGAACTCGGAACCTCTCATAAGAGAGAGTGAGTCAGTGACAAGCTGAATTGCACGAAGGAATGTATATATGTAGTATATAATAAGGGAGAAGGTACAAATATACCTCTATACTATGGGTGGAAGAACAAATATTCTTGTTCTAGTTTTCAGAACAAATGAAATATACCCCTAAAGTATATGTTGAAGTGCATATATACCCTTGAACTTTTAAAAAGTGCAAAAATACCCCTGATTTTCTTACAAAGAGCAAAGTTACCCTTATTGACTTTAAATAGATAAAATAAATTTCAAAAAACACCAAAAATAAAATATAAATTCCAAATTTAAAAATAATTATGTATTATTATGTTAAAATATTAACTCTTTAATTTTAAATTGCAAAATTATTATTTTTCCGTTGTAAATGAAGCACTTCAAATTCATAAATATTAATTTTAGTGTTGTGAAATTTTGAACACATTGTTATATTTCTTGAAATAACATTCTTTGGTTTTGTTTAACTTTAAAAAATTTAATTCACCATTTTGTATACTCCCTCCGTCCCTAAATAAAAGCATCTGTTTCCTTTTCGGGCCGTCCCTAAATAAAAGTTCCATTTCCTTTTTTGGCAAACAAAACAGTGCAAAACAGTGCCAAACAGTGCCAAACAGTGTCCAAACAGTGCCAAACAGTACCAACCAAACCCACTTTCTTAAGATGTGTGTAAAATGAATGGATACTTTTATATAGGGACGGAGGGAGTATATGGAGTATATAATAAGGGAGAAGGTACAAATATACCCCTGTACTATGGGTGGAAGAACAAATATACTTGTTCTATTTTTCAGAACAAATTAAATATACCCCTAAAGTATATGTTGAAGTGCATACATACCCCTGAACTTTTAAAAAGTGCAAAATACCCCTCATGTTCTTACAAAGAGCAAAGTTACCCTTATTGACTTTAAATAGATAAAATAAATTTCAAAAAAACCAAAAATAAAATGTAAATTCCAAATTTAAAAAAAATTATTATTATGTTAAAAATTAAAATATTAACTCTTTAATTTTAAGTTGCAAAATTATTATTTTTCCGTTGTAAATGAAGCACTTCAAATTCATAAATATTAATTTTAGTGTTGTTGTGAAATTTTGAACACATTGTTATATTTTTTGAAATAACATTCTTTGGTTTTGTTTAACCTTAAAAAATTAAATTCACCAATTTGTAATCTTGAACTATTTATCATCATACAAAATATGGTGCAAAGAATGCAAAAAATTAATATTTTTTTTATATTGGAACACATATGTTAACACTTTTTTCGAAAGAATCTTAAACATAAAGTAAAGTTTTGAAATAACATTTGATACTAACAATATTAAAATGTGATATACACAAACAATAAAAGGAAGAATTGGACACAAGTACATTTTTAGTTTTTTTAATTTTTGAGTTTGAATTTATAATTTATCTTTGGTGTTTTTGGAAATTTATTTTATCAATTTAAAGTCAATAAAATTTAATTTGCTCCTTTATAAAAATATGAGGGTTATATTTGCATTTTTTAAAAAGTTCAGGGGTATATATGCACATCCACATTTACTTCAGAGTATATTTGTTCCGAAAAATAGAATAAGGATATATTTGTTCTCACACGCACCCATATTACATGGGTGTACTTGTACAGTTGTACCTTTTCCCTATATAACAAACCAGTACTACTCATACACAAGTACCACTCATATGATGATTAATAAACAACCCTAAGGGAGTGTTTGTAACTTTTTTTGTAGTGTTTTTCATCTTTTTCTTTAGAGGATGATAAAAAAAAAACTTTTTCTTTAGAGGAAATAAAAAACGGTGTTTGTAAATGGAAACTTCACTTTAACATTTACTTCATATCACTTTTAAGCTAAAAGCTAACGGCAACCATGGGGATGCTTTTATGCTTCAAGGTTATTGTGTAAATAATGCAAACTTTGGGGATAAAGTTTATGCTAAAATTAGGGTGCATTATTACCCGGAAATACCCCGTTTACGGCGCAACCATAAATCTTCAATAGACACGCTGACACAATGCTAATCCCTATTCCATAATAAGCTTCTTATAACTTCTTTTCCACCATAAATCTCCATGCCATTTTGTGAATTCCTAAGCTTCTCATAGTCTCTTCTCTAACCCACCAATCTTCATTAGCATCACGGGTCGCCGACCTCGCAGCCGTGCAAGGCAGGAATGTTGATAATTTTAAATTGAAAAAATTCCACACTATTATACCACTTCCACATCCGGTCCCTTACTTTCAGATTGTCCACATTTAGTCCGTGACCATTATCCCCTCACCACCCCTCGTCCTTCTAGTCAAAATTCCGGCAAATTTAGTCCACTTATCAGCCTCAGAATCAGTCTTTGCATTAAATTTTATATAAGGTTGGGTTTTTCGTATCCGTCTTTGCATTAAATTTCGGTTTTCATACCTAAAATCTGCATTAAATTTGCCAGAATTTTGGCCGGAAGGACGAGAGGTGGTGAAGAGATAATGATCACGGACTAAATGTGGACAATCTGAAAGTAAGGGACTAAATGTAGAAGTGGTATAATATTCACGGGACCAAAAGTGGAATTATTTCTTTTAAATTTGTAGATTTGATTTATATCAAAACTTTTGTACTTTAATTAAATATTGCAATGAAAATCACTTTTTTAACAAACATGTAGTCCAACTTTTACTCATTAAATTAAATCATTTTAATTTCAAAACACTGTCAACTTTTATTAATGAGTACTTTTTCTAAAATCACATTTTTTTTCAAAATAGAAGCAAAAAATTCCCAAGTATCACGGTTAAAAACACGTACAAATGAAGAATCAACAGCAGCTAACAATTAATGTACGTATAAGAATATAATATTTTAATCATCTATATATATACGTACTACATTTATTTAATTAAAATACACAACGTAGGGTAGGGTGCAGAGATACAAATTAATTATTATCTTGCTTAGCGCCTTAGCTTAGCTTCTTGGATACACATACATGTAAAAATGGAAGATATATACACAACGTAGGGTAGGGTATTATATTCTGAGATGAGGTACCGGGGCCGCATGCATGAAGGGCGGTATGTAATTAGGTATATATAGTAGCTAAGATAAAGCTGGCCGGATAGATATATGGGTATTATGTTTAGAGAATGATGTTTACCCAAATACCTTCACTGGGTATAGCCTGATGAACGACGAAGAGCATGTAATATCCGGGCGGAGCCAGATTGGGCGAAGCGGGCGTGAGCACGGTCATCTGGTATGTGTTTTTTGCGGGGGCTGGGACAAGCTGGTTGCCGCCGCCGCCAAGATCCAACAGCCTCTGGTGTTGCGAAAATGAATGGGTGGTGAAGGAGGGCGCAACCAGCGTGGCGGTGACGGAATCCCCCTCCGCCAGTTGCTCAACCGCGAACTCAATTACCAGCGCTTCACCGTACCCGATTCGGGAGTGCGAAGCGGGTGAGGTGGTTATGCGCGGGCGCAGCCCTGCAGTGGCCGGATCCAGGTATGCGGGCGAGAACGCCTCCAGCCGCAACTCCGTGGGGAAGCGCGCGTTGGCGAACACGTAGTTGGCGTGCGGGTTGCTTCCGCCCACCAGAACCCGACCGTCTCGCAGCAACAGCGCGGACGAGTGGTACATTCGTGGGATGGGGCTCGGCTTTTGCACCTCGAAGCGCAGCCCGGCCGGATTGTCATGGTAGTAGATGACCGGGTTGAGAACCGGGTTCCTGGCGTCATCGTACCCGGCGGTGCCCCGCCCCGCGCCGTTGATGATGAGCACGTTCCCGTTGGGGAGAGTGATCATGTCACCCATCACCCGCCCCAAAGGCATGCTCTCCATCGCCCACTTTGGTTCCGCGTCCGTGATCCTCATCCTCCCGCACGTGCTCAGCGCGCCCATGAACTCCCCCCGCTCCGAAGCAGGAAACGCGCCTTTTGGTGCACCACCACACACCAACACCTCCGCTGTTATATCTCCGCCTTCCGACTTCTTCAATGGCAGAAGCACTGCCGATCCTGTGCTCGGGTAACACCTGCCGGCCAAAACATCCAACATTTTGTGTCAACACAAATCACTTTTAACCTCTTACTTTATATATCAAATTCTTATCAAATTTGATTCTGATTTTTGACACTTTGTAAAACCTTTAATGTAGTTTCTGAATATGTATTTTTCTCTCTAAAAATAATATGTGTGCGAATAGGGATTTGTTTGCTTTATCTAAGTCAAATATCATAAACCGCAATGAGACAACAATAATGGGACATGGGAAGCAGTGAGGCATCTTCTTCTCATTTTAATATTCTTCTACTTTCAATTACTTATACGGAGATTCCCAAAATATGAGTAAATGAAGTTTGGAATTCCAAAATAGGACTATTTATTATGTTTGTATTCCCGAAATATGACTAACATGTGAGTATTTACTTTCATCTTGTAGACGTGACTGTCAAATTGTTGTAGTACAATGCATTTAGCATGACATTATTTATCATAATTACTGGCAATATTTTTCAATCATTGCAGTACTTTCCATAAATGATAGTAACAACTCTTATTTCGGGAAGAAAAATATAGTTGTCGTGTTTTGAAATTTCAAACCTCATTTACTCCTATTTAGGACAATTTCTCTTACTTATATTGATCAAATAATGACACAAATTAAATAAATATAGTCCACAGAAATTGTGACTTTTTATTACTTTTTTTGATCGCGTGACTTTTTATTACTATTATAGTGATTTTAGCAATTATTATACTCCGTAATATATCTAACGAATATGATTATGTTAACTCTAAAATACCAAGTACCTTTTGGTCTAATGGCATCACTGCTAATCTCCTAAAGAGGAGGTCGCAGGTTTGAGTCCTATCCCAGTCAAGGATGTTGACATTAACATAAGCAGAGACCATAAGATATTTAGAAGATTATTAAAAAAAAACTCTAAAATATTGTGACTATGTATAGTAACTAACTATAGTAAATTGTTTAGTAATACTTCACAATAATTAAGGAGAATTTGACGTTGCAACCTATTTTCCGAGTGATAGTTGACTTTGCACTCTATTTTTAAAATTACAAATGTATGCACACAATTTTACTATAAAATTATTTGACCTTGCTGACAAGTGCTATTTATTAGTACATAAGGAACACATTTTAGAATGGTTTTAAGAAAATTGTGTTTACTTAACTTATGTACAATTATAGCATAATACTACGTATTTATCTTCTAATATTGGACTAGAATCATAAGATATAAAAATATCTAACATGTAAGCAAGAAACATGATGAAAAATCATGAGGAAATCACTTGGGAGATTAAGGAATTTGCTTGGAGACGAAAGAAAGCTTCATGAGAGACAAAGAAAGATAAAAAATAAGATTTGGTCACACACCGAGTCAGGTATATTCAATGTTCAGTCGGATATGATTTGACCATGAGATCTTACAAAATCAAATAAAGCAAGAGAACATGAGAAATCTGATTTGGTGGATAACCCGGTCAGGTTGACTCAAAACCCATTCGGGTTTAATTAGATTTCAACACTTTCTGGACTACCCCCAAGGATACCCGACCGGGTATACTAGATACTCGGTCGGATATCCGACCCAACCACCTCATTTCTCCTATAAAAACACTCATTTCCTTTCTATTTGACACACCCATCAATCCCCTCTTTCTTGTATATATGTATATAGTGAGCTTGATTTATTCTTGTAATTTATGTAGTCTTTTGAGTTTGATTTTGCTATATTGAAGCTTGTGAGTTGCAACTTTTGAGTTATTTCTTTTATCCCCCATCTTAAATATTAACTTCTTCTCCATTCATATTCCATATTGATATTTGAGTATCGCTAAGTGATCAATTAATTGATGTTTTCATTTTAATTATTACTAGAATCGGCCAATGAATACACTTGTTATTCACTTGGTCCTTTCACAAGTAGTATATTTTTTTTTTGGATGAAATGTAAGTATATATATAACACCCAAAAATAACATTTTACAATGTATCAAGTTCGGATCAAAAAAACTATCTAAGTTAGACTAATCTAACCTAAAAAGTACATCAACACCAAAAACACAAAAACCTTAAAATCATTGGTCCAGCCGCAAAAACAGAGACTTCAAAATCGTTGTCTCAGCATCGAAGTAATCTGGCAGAAGCAAAATGATCCTAGATACGTGGCAGCAACTAAAAAATTTCATCCGGCAGAAACAAAACATTATCGCCTGAAAGACAGAAGCAACGAAACATCTCCAGCACCCTTCCAAAAATAACCTACGTGGCTCGTGGTATCAATATACAAAGCATATGCCCTGACATTAAAAAATGAACCAAGGGATCCACTATGGCCAAACAAACCGAGACAGATTAATTTTTTCCGATCAGGCGTTTTTTCCTTTTCTTTCCCTTTGAGCTGCCCTTAAAAAGGCTAGGAAGAGCAATCCTGTTTTTAGCAAATGTCTCCTCCCAACTTAAACCTGGAATTTTCTTTATCATTCTATCCCTGTTTACGGTATCATCTTTTTTAATAAAAAAGACCTTACCGTCCATATAAACTTCATCAAAGTCCGTGGTACCTGTCAGGTCTAGATCTTCCTCCCCCGATCCATTGTCAGTCTCAAACGATCCATATCCGGAGCTATCACTATCGGTCTCCTCCAGCACAGTAGATTCCGGCATAACCAACTTCCCTTTCGTCGTAACAGTAGGCTCTGGCACTTGAGCCTCCATTTCGGTTACACCCCCTTTCATACCATGTAATGTTTTTGGTTCATCCTCCTTAGCACCACCGGCAGTATCATTAATTTCCTTATCATTCCTTTCCTTCCTTTCATTTTCAGCTAGTACCTTACAATTAAATGGGTGATGCCCAAATTCCTTGCATTGAAAGCAGTAGTTAGGAAAAGTCTCGTAAAGCACCCATTGATTAATTATCTTGCGTGAAGGTAATCGAATAGGAAAGGACAATGGGGATGGTTTCGACACATCAACTTCAATGAGTACTCTAGCATATTTGTGATTGGTTCTCTCTTGAGTGACCTTGTCCGTAGACAACGGAACTCCAATCATTGAAGCTACTTCACTCATAGCGCCTTCATTCCATAAATTCATGGGTAGGTTCGAGAATTTAACCCAAATCGGCACCTTGAGGAATTCCTCATCCTGAAATGAGAAATCCTCCGACAGCAACTTCAACATCAGTAACTTCCCATAAATCGAGTATGGTCCCTCATTTAGCACTTCAATCTGTCAGCTTCATTTTGAAATTTAAAGATGATCCAACCCTTATCATGGGACCTAACCAAGCATTTCACCCCCCATTTTTCTCTTAGCTCGTGGACAGCTTTAAGCCCAGGAAATCGTCCTGTGAAGAAACCAACTAAACAGTGTCCCCACATCTCCACCATTGTAGGCATAACCCTATCAGAGAGATCCAAAACATTGCCTTTTGGAGGGATAAATCTCAGTTTAATTCCATGGGATGGTGTCCGGTTATCCTTAAAGAGTGCATTCCATGGTTTATTTACCTTTTCAGCCTCTTTAGGTACATGAACCTGCTTGATCAGTACAGAATGATTCTCAATAGTGTTAGAAACAGTTATCTTACTTGGCATCAAAGGAGCGGAAGTAGCTGCATCAGTAACACCTTTCTGGAATTTCACAGGAGTAGTTTCCTTTGGCAGCATAGTAGCAGAGCCTCCTGCACTCTCAGAGTTGGGTACTGCTGTAGTAGAAGGTCATGTGTTTCCAGAAACTACAGCATTTTTTTCAGAAATAACTTCCCCTGCAGAGTTCGTATGTCCTGCTTTACTGGGATTTCCCTCAGCTTGTTTCTTCCCAGACGGAAGAGCTGGAAACTCTTCATGAATGTCAGCTAGAAGGGCAAATCGCGAAGGCTGGACCTTATTGGGGGGTTTAGCAGCATGTGCACAAGCTCTCCCTGGTTTAGTCCTCCCAGCAAATTTCAGGTTCAGAACAGGAAAACCCTCCTCCATAGCCTCCATGGCCTCACGCACAGTGACTCTAGACCTAGTGATTCTGGCCGTGGAAGCTTCCCCCATCTGTAGGTTCGTTCTCATCATCTCAGAGCAGACCTAAGTAGCATTGATGAACAGTAACTAATTCAACCTCGCGCAGTTGAATTTTCAGCCATCGTTCAGCATTCAAAACAGGTTTCAGAAGCGAAAATAAGAACAGCAAGCGAAATCGTACCCCAAAACAACCGCAAGACAAACCAGATAATTGCTAAACAAAGAATCCGATTGAAGAACACATGAACAGTAAACAACCTTCGTTTGCCGATTTCAGACCTAAAAGGTTTTCAAAACTTGAAATCAAGCACCAAATCGGAACCTGCCTGTTAATAAGGACCGGAAAGTATCAGGTAACCTTCTAAATCTATCGGTAAAATCATGGAGGACCTGCGCGTGAGAAAGAGAAGTTGGGTCGCCGATGATCCAGGAGAGACTCTCTCAACTCCTTCACAAGTAGTATATTTATATTACTAATGCCGCCTAAGAGGGAGTAATTATATTGTTTGAACCAAAAAACCGTCTAAGTTGAGGTTATCAATCTTAATTGATTTCATTAAATGAGCAATAGATGAATAAGATAAAATAGTTGGACCTGAGATTCTTGTTGTGACAGCCGAGAATATTCACTCTGGATTACAAATTATTATTCTTAAAAGATTTCATTAAACGATTTCATTTTCAATTATTAATAGCTTTTGATTCATGTCCTTATGATATGCAGCTTGTTGGGAGATGGTTTTCTGTAGGGCTTCTGATCCATGCCCCACTATAGATAGAAATACACACACACCAGAGACTTCCTACATATGCATTGTCTAAAACTCACGTCTTTTAGAAAGGGACACTAAATTTTGCATTCTTAAAATTTTCCCCACAGTTGTTAGCCTTCCATTGTATTAGTCTGCTGCTCACTTTTTCCAATGTTGTCCATCATACCAAGTTATTGCCTTAATGATTTGAATCTTGCTTTACTAAGATCTTTGTTGAAAATATAAACTAGCTGATTGGCAATAACCACATATTCCCACTTGATGTTAGTATTTGCAACATCCTCTCTCATAAAATGATGTTGAATGTCAATGTGTTTGATTCTAGAATGAAACATTGGGCTATGTGTAATGGTAATAGTACTCGTGTTATCAAATACTCCCTCCGTCCCTTATAACTTTGCCAACTTTCCTTTTTTGGTTGTCCCAAAAACTTTGCCACTTTCCCTTTTAATCAATCAATTTGTGTTTCCTGTTATTTCTCTCTCTGCACAAATCTCTACCACACAGTTTTTACTTTATTATTCTACGTGCCAGTCAAACTTGGCAATCCTTTTAGGGATGGAGGGAGTAGATGGTTACCTCTTTTGCTTCCACTCCATAGTGTCTAAGCAGATGTTTCTTCCATATAATAAATATGTGCACATCAGTTGTTTGTTGCTATGTACCCGACTTCAGTTGATCTAGTAACTATAGAAATCTGCTTTTTGTAATACCATGACACTAACCTGCTTCATTGCGTTTCACATGTTCATGAGGTGCTCTTTTTGTCAATCTTGCATCCAACAAAATCTAATTTTGAGTAGCCAATGAGTTCAAATCCTCATTCATCGGGGTACCAAAGGCCAACATTATGGCTTCCTTTGAGAAATTTGAGGGTCTTTTTTGCTGTTGTGAGATGTCTTTCTTTAGGTTTAGACAGGAACCTTACACATACACCTACAAAGTAGGAAATATCTGGCCTACTTGCTGTTAACTATATCAAAGATCCCATTATACTTATGTACATTGTTGGATCAACAACTCAACCATCTTTATCTTGATTAAGTCCTTAGGATGTGTTGATGGGTATCTTCACTGATCACTTTCCTTCCATCCCAAAATTCTTCATCGGATCTCAGGTGCACTTAACTCGATTGCTAAAAATTTCTTATGGAGTCTACTTCACTTGTTGACTCAAGAAGTGAGTCAACTCTCACATCATGCTCATCTCAAAATCTTATTGCGTGAGAGTTTAGAACATCTCACATAGTGCTTTATTTATGCATTCAAATATGATATCATCAACATACATATATTTGGACAAGTAATATGTGTGGGCCTTCTGGTAGTTTAAAGAGTACATTGTCTACTTTTCCTTTGGTAAAGCCACTATTTACCAAATATTGATATGGAGTGGCATACCATACCCTGGAGCTTGTTTGGACCCATATAGAGCCTTCCTTAACTGTTAGACTTCATTTTTCCCATTTCTTTGTTCAAAAAAAGGATGTTGCTCCACATATTGTTGTTGAATACCCATTTAGTACCTATCATGTGTTGATAATAAGGTTGAGTTACCAGCTCTCATACTTTGTTCGATCGTTTAAAACTAGTTTAGCTCTTCCCGTGTAGCTAATATCCAATCTGAGCTAGCCTTCTAATGCTACTTCAATCTCCCTAGGCTCAGTTTGGGAGATAAAGCTTGGGAACATTGATTATGTTTGAATTGTTGCTCCAGTTCTCACGCCTTGTTGGATGTTTCCAATAATTTACTTTTGAAGATGTTGATTCAACCACCTTAGATCGGGATGTGTGATAGGTTGAGGTGGAGTGTCATCATCTTTATAACTTTCATCATTAAATTGGGTTTGAAGGGGTTCTAATATGCTATTAGACTCTTCTGGTTCATCATTGTTATGCTATGTGACTGTACGTGTTTGCGCTGGCAGGAGGCAGAGAGCATCTGGGAGCATGTTGATCGGCTATAGGATTTAAAAGGCTAAGATTTTTAACCTTAGCTTTTCAGCTTCCTCTTACACTGAGTTGTCTTCAAAGACAACATGTATTGATTCCTCCACTGTCATGCTCAGAAATATCCCTTCGTCTCACTTTTGGATCAAAGGGTCAGAGATGGGCTTTCCATTGTTATGGATGTAGCATTTACATCCCAAAACATGGAAATAGCCTGTCTGTCCTTCTCCCCTTCCAGAGTTCATAAGAAGTCTTCTTGTTCACCTCGTGGATGAGGGATATGTTCTGAGTGTAGCAGGTTGTATTGATAGCATAAGCCCAATATCTTCTATGTAAGCTGCTTCACAAATCATGGTCCTTCTAGCTTTCTTGAGTGTCCCGTTTCTTATTTCTGTCACACCATTTTGTTGTGGTGTTCTAACACCATGTAATTGATGTTCAAACCCAGTTGATTCACAGTGTTGGGTTACAAATTGGTTGATGAACTCAGTACCTATATGCGACCTTAGCTTCTTGGCTTGTTTTTTAAGTGTTGTTGTTATGGTGTTAATTATCATGTTATGGATATATTAAATTATATATTGTTTAGTATTGATTCAGTTATTACTAATCTGATTTTGATTTTTCATTCGTTAGTATTGATTAATCCCGCTATTATTAATGTGATTGTGATTTGTGGGGTTTGTGATAGGGGCACACTGGGGGTAGGAGAAGCTGTTCCTCTCAACCCGACCCCACACAATCCCTACATATATGTATCAAATATAAAATTATATATGTAGATATGTGATGGATAGTGTACCCGGGGGGTAACTTATCCGAGAGATATTATAAGAAATATCAAGAGAGAGGTCACGTCAAGTAAGATAGAGAGTGAGTATGTATTCGATATATGTGTTGTGTTGTGATTACAAGGGAAAATGGCGCGCTGTTATTTACAACAGCCATAAATGCTAGGTCTAATCAATGGGGGTACACGTGTCAAGCAACCAGCGATGGAGGGTTATTTCAGCCAGGGTGGCGCTGACATGTGTATGTGGCCGCGTTTAATGTGGTGGTTTGAGTGTGACGTTCGCATTCAATGCGGTGATCCAGCGCATGTGGAGGGGAGATCCTGTCGAGGAGAGTGCCTTCGGTACATGAACCCGAGGGCCCTTGTACCGAAGGTTATGTATAAGCTGAAGGCCGTGTATATGCCGAAGGCTGGAAATACCGAAGGGTGCACGTAATTTCCCAGTGATGTCAGTCGACCAAGTGTAGCTGTTTACCGAATGTGTGGCCTTCGGCCATGGGGCCGAAGACAGTACCTTGTTGCAGTATAGGCTGTGTGGGATCTTGCTTGCTGTGTTTGGGCCGCTTGGACTTGCTGGGCCTGACTGTAGTAGCGGAAGTATGTGGGTCGGGGCTTCCTGGGCCACATACTCCATCAATATGTATTAATTATAAGTAACTTATACATTTAATAATGAGTTTGATAACAAAGAGGTGTTGTAGTAGAGTCGATATTGCTTTGCATGCGTGTATCGAGTTATTGAAATGGTTAGGGGTTTGATTCTCAGCTTATATTTTTTTTTAATTTAGTTTTAGTTGTGCCTTTTTTATTTTTATTTAGTTTTACTTCTGCCTTTTTAAGCTCTAAACAACTTTAAAGTGACTTTAGATAATTGTGTTCAAATTTTAGCTTGTTTTTACTAATTCGATATATAATTACAATTTAATTTTTTGCATATAATGTTTGAAGTTTAAGAATTACATTTTTACATTTAATATAAATGGATTTTAAGCATACTTGTGCATTCACAACTTAACTTTAATTCTAAACATATATTTGATTCATTCCTTATTTGATGGTTATTGTTAACATAATTTTAAATTACAACATATGTGATTAAAATTTACCTTTAGCAAAGTGAAATTTCATCTGCCATGAAATTTTTTAGTATGACATCGTCATATTTTTGTACCACAAATAATTTATTATCTATTTTTGATTTTACACTATTTTAAGTTGTTCTTAATATGGTTGTCTATGAGATGTGTGAGATTGTCAATGCGAGTTCTGCTCCTATGGCCAAAATTCCTAGATACACCAGTGTTTGTGATTATTAATCCCATTGTTTAATTAGTAAATATGTGGACGTTTAAACTTTGTTTTTACTTAGTCAAATATGTGTTATTTATTTCCATGTTTTTAGGTTTACATTTTAGGCACTGCATTTGTTTCTTGTACGTGTGCATGTGGCAGAGCAATCATTATCACACTCATGCATAAAAGTAGGAAGCATGATGAGGTAGTTGGTTACTCTTTGCATTGTGTATATATATGGGTGTGTGTTGGGATATTGGGCCGAAGGCCCAATACCCGGATCCAAAGGCCCAGTATATCCAGTCCGTTAAACAAGACCAGAATCCAGAAGATGAACAGGCTCATGGAGAAATATGTACCGAACGGGGTTCAGGTCAACCAATGTACTTAGGCCAGATCAATGATCATTCCAGCAGAATCCACTACCCGTTCGGGCAGCGGGTAGCCAACAAGTGGCAGGGAGCATTCATTGCTAAAGTATGGCGGCAACAAGTGGGAGTATGGACTTAAAGTGGCCGGATTAGCAACCAATTAGCAAGTAGCACCCCATACCCCCCATTAGTATAAATAGAAGGATTAATTTCATTGTAAAGGGTTAGCTTCTTGATACTCAAGGCCTAAAATAGATTTATCTCTC